TAAATCAGGTTCTTGGGGAAAACTTCATCTCTAGTAAATACAATCCAGCTGAGAAGTTTCCATATGGTTTTTATTCAAAAATCAAAATATTTAACCTGCTACAGATTATCACCTTGCCAACTCAGACTGGAATAAAGACGTCAACTAGTTGGGTGGATGGTTCCCACCTGAATGTATCATTCACCCGTTGTTTGAATAACGCTCAAGTAATCTCCACTTTTCTGTTTGAACGACACTCATGGTGAGATAATTCCATGTGGAATAAATCTTTACAGTTGGTTCCATCGCCCTGGCTCTTTGAATCAAATAACCCTAGACATACTGTTGATGAGTTCACCAACAGCTGTGATATAGCTAGTGTAAAATACTAGTTCATTTAAGGAGTCCATTGGGCAGGTGTGTCAGTCAGTGGTATGCATTCCATAGAATGAAATGTCATCTAAAATATCATGAATAACTTTTCTGGTACAATCAACGTAAATCATTGAAAGTCAACTTTATTGGGAAATAATCTGCAATGGGAATCAAAGGTGACAGTTGTAGAAAATGTTTCTTCATTTTACACACAAATAAACACCAGTCCCTGCATCAGAGTTTCTATTGCAAAAAAGAAAGCAAAATGATTAGCTAATTATAATGTCTACAGACCTGACATAGTAATAATTGATCAAGACGTATAAGTAGGATTGATGTCTTTTCTTTGGGTGTCATTCTCTCTCGTTATTCCTCTACCACGAGACAATAAAAACAAAGAGGAAAAGGGGTTATCCTTACAATGAAGGTTTTTTTTCCTTTAATTTAGGAAAATAAGGACATTTTTGTGCAAGAGTGACTCCAAGAAGAGTTTTCTGTCACTTTTTTTTTCCATATTTTCCTCTTTCATTTAACCCTCCCTTGTTCTGCAGTATCAGAATTCCACGACCACACATATGGTATGCTGATGTGATAAAATCTGCCCTATATTTATTTAGTTTTTTTATTCAGCTTTGAGATTGACAGTATCTGCTTCTTGGCCAATGACTAATTTTATTATATTCTGAGGTGTTTATTATGAGCATTCATGAAGCAGAAAAAATTATAGAGAGAAGGCATAGAACGTATTAGCAGAATATGACAAAATTCTAACGATTCAGAAATATGCATTATGCAATGATGAGTAAACAATACACTTGTATGTATCAAGATCATGATATGACAGAATAGGAAGGGATAGGGTTATTTGAATACTTTTAGTCTAACTAGATTCTAATCAAGCTGAACGACAGTGGAAAGGCGTTACCTGAAAAAGTAGAAAGTGAACAAAAGAAGAACTCTCCACAGTTATGCAGTAGAGCAAATTGTATCTCCAGAATAAAGCTTAGTGATTTCCTTTTATACTACAGTAACAATATAATAGAAGGCGTGAGTTTTATTTTATGTGGGATTCCACCGTAGCTTACAAGCTATTTTGGAGTGCTTTCCTATCCAGTAAATATTGAAGATTTGTAACAATGAAAGTAAAATTAATGCTCAGAAAAACATTGTCTCTCAGTTTGATTGAAACACTTAAGAGTTCATGCTGAGGTACTTAAGGCGTCACAGATATATTTTAATAACAAGCTTCAAGTGGAAAAGCAAGTAAGTAGCAAGGTATACTAACAGTTTCCTCTATCTACTCATTTCGTATTCTTTTAAAATTTAGATTAGTGTTGAGACTAATTATAATTCGTTATCTGATTTTATTCTGGGATAGTATTGCATAATTGTTAAGGTCGAGATGGAAATTTAGTTTACAACAGACTTTGTGTTAATGATTTTCACGCTATCTGCTTGGCTTACTCTTGGGTTACTTACTGATCAATACTCCACTCCAGTTAAACCACAGAAGATTTCGACAAGGTGTTTCAGAAATATATATTGATCAAATCACAATAATTTCAGAGTAGTTCTGTATCCGGCTTGCTTAGTTTATTTGGCAAAGGGCCATATACAGGCAACTAGTTAGAAACCTACTTTTCATTTTAGAACTCACAGTAATATAGTTTTTAAAATTTTGTAAAATTTAATGAAATTAAATCCTAACCGATAGTGATTTAGCTCAGTTAGGCATCAAACAGCTTCATTTGAACATAGAACGTCATTGAATTGCCTGTTGGTTGAAAAAAAACACCAGTAACATTTCCCTGTCTTGTGAGTATCAAAGTGAAATTGACTAATCTTTTGAAATCATTTCCTCTTAGCTATATTAAACACAAGGATAAGAACATACTGTATACTGACTACGTCTAAATGTTTTGAGCTCCACTCCTCAAGGATTACTTTAATCAGTTTTTTAAGATATACCGTATTCGATGTTGAAAGTTCGACGGTTATTTGTGAAAGTGATTTGTTAAAGGTTTCTCAGAACAGCCATTTAGGAATACAAATTCGAATAATTTATCCCCATAATGTGAGAATTAATAAGTTTACAGTCAGTTTTCAGAGTTCCTGTCTTCACGTATTATTCACATAAAACACTAAGGTTATCCGTAGTATATGTGCACGTCTACACATTCCTTTCAATCGAGTTGCCCTAAATACACTACTGTCAAAATCATTTATTCTTCATTGCATCTAGGCAAATAATAACCTTAATTACGTGTACTGTGTTATGAGTGAAGGTGTACTGCCAATTTACCAGTAGACTTCATCTTTATAGTACTTCAATTCTCCTTCCTCTGGGCAACAAGTCAATGTTGGTTTTTTGATTTCCTTTCAGTTCTCACTGATTAAATATGGGGGGCTGTTGTGTTTCAAGAGAGGAAACTTAAGACCTACATAGTAAACAAGGTGGAAAGCTAAAACACTACACTGAATAGTTAACAGATCGCATGGGGTGGTTCAGAACTGAATGCTAACTATTGTGCAAGTATAAGATGGTTGATGAAATAAGTAGTTGTCACGTCATTGATTCTGTCGTCTTTCTCAGACGTTTACACATCGAATTACTTCATAGGTGTTTCTTCAAAATCATAAGGATACAATGGAGCTAATTACAGCACATATTTGGTCAATGATAATTTCTTTACTTAACCGACCAATTTTAAGGAGTCTGTCTACTAAAAACGAAGAGAAATATTCCTTTCAGCTACCATAGTTATAAAAATGACTTTTTCATCGTTCAATATTCTTCAAACTTTGACTTCTGTTATGAATTAACTGATTGTTAGTGATGTGTATAAGAAAGACATTTTCTAAGTTGGAAATTAGCTGAAATGTACATGTAACTGATACACAACGATTAAGTGAGATATTTTGTGGAGAAAGCACGCACTACATGGAATGATGCTGAGACATTTAATTTTGAAAAGAAATCAGTATGATCGTCTCTATTTTTGTATCAAGATCTATTAGCTTAGTCAGATTAGTAATAAAGAAACAGTAATTCGACTAGCGTTATGTAGCACAGTCTTTCTATCATTATTGACCTACTTAATGGTACATTTAGCTTCAGACTATGGAGATTCAGTAGTAGTGGAGTTGAATTTGCTAGGTGTATTTGACAGACTCATGTACAAGCTTGGCTATTATCCGGGTTACAAAACTAGGCGTGGTTTACGAGTGCGTTTGTTGGGAAGCAAATTCGGATTACGTATGGAGTTAGCTAGCATGCTACCAATGGACTAGTGTCTCACAATACGGTCTAAGTGGAGTTATTATTATAAATGTCCATGATTACTAATTTTCATTTTGTTGCATTAAAGATAACATCTAAATCGACGTTAATGACCTATTTCCCACAGAAAATGATATTAGACAGCGAAAAAGCTACCAAAATATTTAAAAATGATATTCCTGTTGCGACAGTTTAAATTATACAGAACATACAGTACGTTTCCTTAACATATTTTATTAACCAGTCTAAGAAGCATGAGGATTAGAAGTTTCCGAGGGTTTTAAACCGTTATCCTTTCTCTTGCAATATATTGTAGAAATAGTCCAGCAGACGTGTAGTAACCTATAAAAATTCAACGTTGAAAGTGAAAGAAGCGAAATTCTCAGTTCATACAGATATCTATCTAGCCAAATTTAAGAGTGACATAAAATAAAACAGAGTCCTCCAAAACATTTTAGTTAACAAGAAACTACCATAAGTGATATTCGACTATTCATAACCTCTGCTGAAATTTTGTGCTAATTGGTGATTGCTTCTCTGCGTAATCACCAGATTAGTTTTATATCACAGCAACTCAAAATACACACATGAAGAGGTATCCTGTGTATACCACGCGTCGTTACGGCTGAGTTCATCTTAAGCACACTCTGAAAGCGATGTATTTCAACAGACTACATCTACGCGCCATATTTTTTAAAAATTCAATCTTAAACGTCTAGGCAACCAGTACTGATGTATTCTGTGCCAAGTTCTACAATGACTTGACTGTCTACCTTTCTAACAGTCTGTCTATTTTCCACAGGCGAAAACGGGAGGATGGACATGTAGATGTTGTATGATATTTCCTACACGCTTATAAATAAATTATTGCACGAGGCAGTAACTCAGTTTAACTAGATGATATATAAATACAGATTAGTAAATATTTTTGTTTTCCTTTTTAATTTATTTAAAAAATTATTCTTTTCTATTCTTTCACTTTATTTTCCAGATAAACAAATATATAAATATAATATTATCTAGCTCGAAATTTAAAGGAATAATTTTTAAAAAATATACATACATTACTGACTGACTTGTCGATCGATTGATATAAGCGTGTATATATGTGCATAAATATGTTTATATATCATGTTTAACTTCAAATTTCTAGTAGATAGATCACCTGATTTCTGTCAGCAAAAAAAGTCTATCCATAGAGTATAGGCTTGATAAGCAAAAACGAAAAGAGGCGCAAGAGAGTAGAAAGCGCATCCAATAATGAAGAACTGAACACATAGTAAATAAGAAGTAACTCTGTCGGGACGGCGTGGGGATATTGCAACTCAATGGAGATATCATCAGTGAAATTTGAATTGATGCTTACTCAACTCACTGATGTTGAAAACTTGTAGGTTTGATTTGTCGGAGGTAGATTGCGTATTGGTTTTGGTTTACCGTCAATCATTAGAATCAATAAGTCAGAATTACTCGACTTTTTATCATCAGTGATACTATGAAAATCACTATTATTGTTGACATTAGTATTGTTCATAGTAATATTGCTGTGACTAAGTAAATGATTAGAGTAGAGATTCGACTTTGTAATGACTATACCATCCATCTGATTTAAAGTACTATTACGAAAATAGGGCAGTAATTGTGTACTTGTCGTACGATTAGATAGATAATGATCATTGATATTGTGGTTACTTTTCCGACTACCATACGGGTGTCGTTTATTCTTTTGCATAATATATCTATCCAGTGTACAATACGATTCTGGATTATCTGATTCAATGTCTGTGAAATCTGTTTGACTACCAATGCTGCGTCGTTTAGACATGTGAGATTTCCTGACTGAATAATACTGTGGATGATGATGTTTACCGTCTGAAGGCTGATAATAACTTTTAGCATTATTTGATTGCATTAAACTATACAGAGCGTTGAAGTTGTTCGAGTTTATTGATTTATGATCTTTTAAACTTATCACACTGCATCTACACCCTGCACCACCGTAAATAATCGAGGGATTCTTTGTAATATGTAGACTACTCCATGAACTATGAGTATCATTCATCTGATGATTTTGCGTAATTGTGTTAGTAGTGGTGATCGCCAGGGCTTTTATATTATTAATAGGATTTGTTGTATTACAACTGATATGTGAGAGTAGTTCACTCTTCTCCTTTGATAAACTTGACTTACGATGGCTAAAGAATCCACTGGATATTGAATTTGAGCTTACTTCCTCCTCTACTCCTTCTTCGTCTTCTTCATCAGCATCCTCCTCTTCTCCTGAGGAATTTGGTCGACCACAGACATGAAACAGACGCAGGGTGTTATTGATGTTGCCTTATTCGTCAGTGCAAACTTTTTAAAACGTTTTCTTATACAATATAATATAATTAAAACAATGATAATAAAACTTATTGTGATGATTGTACACCAAATAATCAATATGATTGATAAAGACAAGGTATGTTTACTCTCTGACTGAATAAACGTCATTGTTTTCAGTTGTTCTATGACTGGAATGTTTGAGACAGTTTCTGATGGTAACTCGTCACCCGTAATTGCTTTTATTTCTTCTTGACTGACTGCATCTAAGTAAGACTGTCCTCCGGGACAGCCGATGCCATCTTTAGTCAACGGACACGTGTATGGAAATATCATGCTTAATTTGGGTGAAGTTAGCTGTGCAGTTGAAGATAAGTCGCGTTTACTTGTGAATACTATGACAATCAAATTGTCTACTGGTTTTGTAATACTCCCATTTACACTGTTTTCATCGTTCTGTACACATTGGTGACATTTTGTGTTTAAATTAAAACTGATCGGTACAGTAATATCCAGAGGATGCAAACGAATAAATGCGGGTTTATGGGAATTTTCCTTCACACTGTTCTCTTCTTCCGGTTGGATGTTGCTTTTCACATTATCATCAGGTAGATACAATGGTGTTTGACCACTTTCTATTTCAAATGATCTCAAGTGTTGTAAATCTATTAGGCTGTCTGGATGCATATAAACTGTGTTCAGTAAACGGACATCTGTGACCAATCCACCCAAGCCTTGGAAACACTTAGCGTCTAATCGGACCATATTTAAGTTTATATGCAGTTCTAGCTGGCCACTCCTGGATAATGGTTGACCAGACCGCGAAGATGCTTCTAATAAATGACCTAATGCACCGGGTATCATTCCACGAACAGATTCTTTATGTCCTAGAATTAGTTCACCTGTTTCGATATTTCTTTCACATGGGATAATTGGTTGTTTTGATGGTGTTGTATCGACTTCTTTCGATATACAATTCACCAGTTCTTGTGAGTCGTTTTCAATAAAGCATTCAATGGGACACTGGTGAATAGAAGGAACGTCCAAATTTGAATATTTTTCATCTAATATATCATCGTTATTGATTGGTTCAGGATGAATTTCAGAGTTATTTGTAATGAAACGTTTCGGATAGTATTCATTTGTGTGACTAAATTCAAATATTACTAGTAGTGAAAACAGACTGAAACTGTGTAATTTGAGATACATTTTAAAATTTCCTGAAACATGTAAGATGTATTATTTGTGTTCCACGATGGTTATCCACTTTGAAATTGTAAGCTTCCACTGCTTCATAACTGTCACATAAAAAAGGACTGTACACTGATGCTAGAAATGAATTGTTGTCGTCATCGTTGTTATTTTTAAGTAGGTGGGTATTAATTTGAAAATATTAAGTACACGGTTGTACAGGTGAGAATGAATTCGCTGTTGCAATTGGTTAATTTCTCTTAACCAATCAAGTATTTATGACCTTGTGATGGACGAATACTATTATTAGTCAGGCATGGAGGTGAACAATTGGTGTTTGCCTAAAACGTCTAAAAGTATTCATAAATATATTATCTGAAATAAACTGGCATAACTGTATTAAAGAAAATCTGTATATAGTTCTGTTTACTCCTGAAAGAAATTAATTGTGTAGCGTTGACTGAGACCAAAAAGTTAATTACTGTGATCCTACTCACTCCTAAGTAAGTTTTCTAATGCTCCCTGAATATTTTGTGTCATTTGTAGCATGAAAACTACACTCTTCTAGGGTGGAAAGTTATAAGTGTTTTTAAGTCCCATTTCACTGCTGACTGGGTAACTTCTACAAATGGAACGACATTATATGACCAGTATACGCGTATAGCAAGTGTTTTGTGTGGAAAGAATCCAAAGATATTCTAGATGTCTTATGATTTGTTCAGAAATTCACTCAAAGAGTTGCTATTTCAGTCATATGGGCGATTGCTGGTGAAATCAGCATGGAAATGAACTTGTCCGTCAGTTTGGAGCTGCAAAACAGAAGGCACAAGCAAAATTACAAATCCTCTTGCTTTCTGGATAGTACTGAGCTAAAATGCGTTTTTGGTTTGAGTTCCTGTGAAAAGAAATGTCTTGTAGTAACACTCTCATTAGTTTTAGACACCAAAAACTCAAAAAGCCCAGAAGTTCCAATGCATAGATTTGGCCTGTTCTCTCCATCCTTATTGTATTCTTTTAAATTCAACAGCTTTTTAGAAACTTCAAACCATGAATTTAGTCGGTAAGAATGCTGTCTTCGTACGCCTGTTTAAAAGATGTAGACCTGTGACAGTAAGAAAAATATCCGTTTATGAAAGATATTGCAACATTTCTATTTCAGTAATTAAGGGAACAGGAATCTTCGATGGACATCTCATTAAATCACTGTAACTTATGTTACGTTATTTGTGAGTTATCCAGTTTGGATGACATACAGGCAATTCTGACCATGTACTGTACACATTTTTCCCAATAATATACAATGAGCCACACTGATTTTTGATGTAAAATAAATTTTCACCTGTAAAGAATTATTTAACTCTGCTGGATAATCACTTCTCCATAAATTGTACTTCGAATTACATTATCATATTTCTTGCTTACAAAGTTGTTGTCCTTTAGGCAAATGTCACTGTACAATGTAACTTTGTATTACATGGTTGGAGGCAATCGGCAGGAAGCCTTGAACCTAGGTTTCGGGCTAGTTGGTACTCGTCAGCAAGAATGATGGTCACATTACAGCCTGACTGATAGAATTCAGTCTACACCAATCACAGGACTAGACGCACCACACTAGTTACTAGTGTCAAATCAAAATGTAACTTTGTATTGTGTTAATATATATTGGTCATAAAAAGGGAAACATTGATTGGGTTAACTTGTACCCTTAGGGTTATCTCCGTTTCTTCGGATGTGAACGCTTTTCGGAACGATTTCATTTTGCTGTGACAAAATTTGGCAGAAATTCACTCATATCATAGTCTTATTTAAAGTAGGGGAGGTCTTACAACTAACTTGAAGATGGGGTTTATGCAAAAATGATGTACTTCAGTCAAATTTTAGGGCAGAATACCCATAAAAACACAGCTTTCGTACTAGATTCAGACCTTTGGTAGTACACATGTATGTTCCAGTGAGAAGTTGAGTCTGGAAATTCTTGGAGAAGTTGAAATCTGACCTTTGTAACTTGTTTCCACTGTACATATATATTTCATAATTGCCAAGTAATAAGTCAGCTAGAGTGTATGAATGTTTTGAAGCAGTAATTCCACTAACAGAAAATCTCATAAAGTAAATTTCAAATCTACCAAGCAGATAAGTTATTTATGTGGTCAACAGAACTTGTAAAAGTTGCTGGTTTGAATACTTTCCCTCAACTGGAAAAAACATTTTAGTATATCACGAACAACTGGTAAATGAAGAATATTTCAAATAGTCAAATTATAGCAGTTAAATATACCGCTGAGGGTGACTAACATGAAGACCTGAACCTAGGATTCCTACTTATCGGCACTTAAATACACCATCTGCAGATTCAAATTCATTCCAGTGTGCCACTGGGCCATCGATTCATTCCCTGTATTCTACCTATTTCTGTCTTAGATAACCTTTATTCATAGTCTGCAGTATATATACGAGATTTATCTTGAAAGACTTTCGGGGGAAAAAACAAGTCGTTCCAATTATGTGGCTACAAAGAAGTTAGACTGTGTTAATACTCTAGAAGCTAAATTATAATTCCCTTTCAAATTCGATTAAATTGCAAGTTTCTAAGAGTCAGCCAGACAGAAAATGAGTTGCAATCCTTGCAATTCAATAGTGACTTCTTTCTTGTGGAGTCTGGGAGACACCCATTCCTGTTTTAAACCTTCTGGGAAGCTCATAACCCAGATTATATTTCTAGTGCATATTGTGTCTTCCATCATAACACTAAAATTCTTTGTGGGTTTAATTGACTTCTAACAGTTGAAATGCACAATATTCTTTTTTACCAGTAACCGAAATGACGCTGAGATTTGTCAATGCAGCCTAAATGACGTACTTAATATTCATAAATGCATAATTATTACAAAATACACTTTGAAAGATAATAGAACGGAACACCTTAAAACTATTCCAGAAGAAATACTTAAGAACTTGTCTGACAACTCAAGTGACATCATTATTCCTCTCATTTGAGAAAGTATGAAAGTTTAGAGCGCTGATTAGAAGATAAAAAAGTGGTATTTGTGTAAAATGAGGCATTTCAAATAAAATCTCAGGAGATATAAAAAAGTAATGAGACCTCCTGAATACGTGACATTAAAAGGTTGTAGATATTTATATCGTACGTGAAGCCAGATGACGAACCTGAAATTAAACTCTTTTTATTATACCTTGAAACTACACAGTATTTTTGGTACAAGTATGGAATTTTCAGCACGTGATATCGGCAGCCCGAATTTTACAGACCGACCAATGATATTAAGTGTGCATTGGCAGGTGATTGAACACCGGACCATGTGAATGGTCGGCGACAGTCCTAATCACTGTGCTACCAACGCACCTGATCTTAGCTCAGAGAGCTGAAGCGCGACTACTAACCACCACCAACCAAGAACATTTGTTCAATCAGTTCAATAAATATGCATAAATATTCAGTATCGTCAAACTGAGAGGACCTATGATATTATGAAATATACCGAAATGGTAGATTAACTAGAAAGTACTTTCAAAGTAACTTTCTAAGTTTGCCTATTGTTGAAACAGGTAGGTGTCAGGTCTATACCGCTGAAATTACTTAGGTATTTTTGGACTTTCTAAAAGCTTGCTTAGTTGTGCATTTCATACCGTAATAGTTTAAAACAGTTCCGAGGTGAATCTATACCTACTAATGGACACAAAGGCTTAGATTTAATCTACTAATTTTTTACCAAAATATAGAATACAAAGTCTAAAGACTGGAGATTGTATCAGATGAGTAGAAAAGAAGAATAATTGAATCCACTGAGACAATCCATAATATTATATGCAACCATGTGAAGCCGCTAAAGCACTTTCCACTGATAGCCTACTACATGGTAATACACACTCTCTGAGTTGTATGCATACAGCTCAAAGTAGCATTAATGAAGTTTTATTTAACCTGCATTAATAATAAATCAGCAGGAATATAGAAACACAACCTTTAACAAATTTGTTTGCTTGTAAACTGAACTGCCTCAGTATTGATTATTTTTAATCTATGGTTTCGTGAGTTCATTTCTCTAAAAATATAAAGTGTAAAAATAGAAAAAGACAAAAGAAAACATTTACATCAGATTTTTGTGTGAACAGTACACAGTGTGGTTACCACTTTTTGAATATATCATGTTACTCACTGTATTTAATTGAATAAACTGTCATTGCTTTCTTTGGTTTATTCTTTTCGCAGTATAGAATACAACCACTTCAAAAAGTGGAGATAATCTTTATAAAGTAAACTAATTGATTCACTCCAACTGCATATGAACATATAACTGTACTCAGTTCACAAATTCACAAAAAAAGTGAAACTGTAGGAGGAATTAAGAAGATCTCATCCAAAACATTAGCATTCTCGCCCGATTTGTTGTTGCTTTTACTTCTAATGGTAAATGATATGCAATACTGTGTTATTATTATGATTATTTATCTGTTGAGTTCCGAGTGAAACATAAGGTTTCAATAGCACATCATTATTTCACTCTGTTCTCTGTAGTCTCTCCTACCCGGCTGAAAGATTGCCCACAAGCTTCCCTTTCCTCTTCACATGACTTCTTCCATGTTATACATATACATATACAGACGCCTAATTCCTCCTTCTTCATTCGTGTTCCCCTCAACGACCTATCATATGATGTCACTTGAAAGTTCTTTCAGAGTATGTTCAGTCCATCTTCTTCTGCATATTCGTTAGTCAATAGATTCATGGCTGACCAGGATGTTTGTCATTTCGCCAGGTGCTATAGATCTCCACTGTCTTCCCCATAGAATCCTGGCTAGCTTTGACATTATAGTTCCCATCGCCTGCTCGCGGCTGAAACGATGCCAATTACCCTGGTAAGTGAATCAGACGAATTTCCTTGGATTACTGTCATTGATGGTAATTAGTAATTATTCTTGTTAATTGTGTAACTTCGGTATCTCTCTATCTTCTCGTGTTCACCAAATTCTTGTCTCCTCTGCCTTTTTCTTAAAAT